CATATACATGAAAAAATTTCTCAGTTCTGATTGGTTAAGATGAATGCAGTTTTCAGTTAATTCAGTGCAGAAGAGGGTTAATTCAGTGCAAAGAAAGAAACAAACCAGACATTCTGATTGGTCAGAATGATTGGTCAATGTCAATCAAGGTCAATGTCAAGGTCAATGTCACCTGCACTGTTTGAATAAATTAGTTTTGCACGTGATGCGCGGGCTTTTCTTCTGCGTAGTTATGAGAAGCTACCTCGTATTTTTTCATGTATATTATTAATACATAATCACATGATTTTCTCGTGCACTTTGGAATAAATAAGCACAAGTAAATTTTTTTAAAGACCACATATTGCACTCGCCCAACGGCCTCATGCAATTTTGTTAGTCTTTGAAAAAATTTACTGGTGCTTATTTATTCCAAATTGCACTCGAAATCATGTGATTACCTATACATAGGGCCGTATTTTACCCCAAATATTCTCCTTAAAGATTTTTTTTTTGACTAATATCGAACAACAAAACCCAAGTAATTGCAACAAGCCGATTAGAACAAAGAGAAGAGATCACAACCAGTTAACGAGAACTAAAAGTAACAACAAGGAAACGGCATCGAGTGCAGGAAAACGGAAAAGACCAATAAGGCGGTTGGTTTTGCTTTTGCATAGGATTTAATTTGTTCAGAGGTGTGCTCAAGTTTTTGGACCAGTCACAGGGAAAAATGATACAATGCTGATGCAACACATTCTTTTTTGAAAGTCAATCTAACTGTGATTAGCACTCATCCCTTCAGATATCAAGATGTTCATAAGCAGGCATACATTATGGTGATCGCCAGCGGTAGATGGCTCGGTACACGTTTGGATTGTCTCGCTTCCCTGTTAGTCGGTGCAGTTGCTCTGGCTGCAGTCTTGGTATCTCAAGATGCCGGTAAGCGCAAGATTCTTAGTAAGGTTTCTCAGTCTTCCTATTCATCACAAATCTGTATAGTCGAGTAATAACACAACATGCACCACCTAATTATGAAATAAGTGAGACTATACACGCACTCTCATTGGTCGTTAGGGGTGTACAGGTGAGAGCTAGGACATTTTAGACTCGCGATAGTTCTTGGGAAATATTTCATGAGGCAAAGCAGTGGAGGACTTTTTAATCGTATAAATACTCTCATCTAAACACGAGAGTGGCTGGGAGAGAAGTGTACTGGAAGTTACGCAAACTTATGTGGCAGTCAAAATCTAACAACGGGTAGTTTTTAAACACGAAAGGAACACAATGGCCACTCGGGCGGCTTAGGAGGTCAGCAAACTTTCACGTGTCTTCTATGATTTACAAATGAATTTGGATACTTAACCTTAAGAAGACTAAAACAAAGAGCTGTTATTTGACAATCCCAAAAAAAAAGCTTTCTTTATTTCCCATTAACTGGCCGCCTTGACAAGACAAAGTGACCAACGCCTTTTAAATTTACTCTTCAAGGTTGAAGCCAGCCGGAGACTGGTCTAGAATTTATGAGATAAAGTGTCTCCCTTTTTGTTTTTCAGCTTCTGCTGGTCTCGCTCTCGTTTATGTCATCCAAACTCTGAACATGACTCAATACGCAGTTAGAAAAGCCTCTGAAGTAGAAAACTACATGACGTCAGTTGAACGAGTTATGACCTACACCAAACTCGACCAGGAGCCTGGATACGAGGAAGATCGACAACCCCCAAAAGACTGGCCTCGGAGAGGAAGTATTGTATTCAGGGATGTATCTCTGACTTACTATCCGGGGGGACCTCAAGTGCTGAAGGAAATAAATCTTAGCATCAAAGGAGGAGAAAAGATTGGAGTTGCCGGCCGCACAGGAGCTGGGAAGTCATCCTTTGTAGCAGCTCTTATGCGCATGCCTGATGCTGACGGAGAGATAATCATCGACGATGTTCCAATTAAAGAGATAGGCCTCCAACAAGCCCGACAAGGTATCTCAGTTCTTGGCCAAAGTCCCGTTCTTTTTAGTGGATCGTTGAGAAAAAATCTCGACATTTTAGACAGGTTTCAAGACGCTGAATTATGGCAGGCTTTAGAGGATGTGCAACTGAAAGATTTCGCCGAGAGACTTGAGGCCAAGCTCGATCACGAACTGCTGGAACATGGCGCTAATGTCAGTGTTGGAGAGCGGCAGTTAATTTGCTTGGCTCGTGTGCTGCTACAACGAAGTAAAATTGTCGTCTTGGACGAGCCAACTGCGCATGTAGACCCAGATACAGAGCAGACGATATGGAATGTAGTGCGGGACAAACTGAAGGAGTCCACTGTCATCACTATAGCTCACCGTTTGAACACGATAAGAGACTGCCACAAGATTTTGGTCTTGAAAGATGGAAAAGTTGATGGATTTGACAAATTTGATTCAATAATGAACTATAACTGAGATGCACTCTGAGAGGAAAGACCAGACCTCGATTCTCAAGTCACGTCTGACAAGTCCTGCAGAGGTGAAGAGATTAGGATAGGTAATAACATGATTTCGAGTGCGCTTTGGTGTTAATAGGCACGAGTAAATTTTTCAAAGAAGACAAAATTGCACGACCCCGGAGGGCGAGTGCAATTTGTTGTTTTTGGAAATTT